TATAGTATATAGTATAGTCTAGTATAGTCTAGTATAGTATAGTATAGTGTAGTATAGTATCTACTATACTACATAGTATGGCCGTGGCTGCCAGGGGCCATCTCTGGGAGGAGGCTTCGACCTCTTCGACCAGCGCATCTTCGGACGCTTCGTCCGGAAGCAGATCCAGGCGCCCTCTTGGGAGCTTCCCTGGTGTCCGAAGCTCCGAGTCTCGGGTTTAGGGTTTCGGGGCCTTTAAGGGGTTTAGGGTTTAGGAAAGTTTAGGGGTTTAGGGGTTTTGGGGGTTTTGGGGGTTTAGGGGGTTTAGGGTTTAGGGTTTAGGGTTTTGGAAGGCAGGACGATGCTACTCGCTCTTGGAGAACCTCACCTACGGAACGAGGCCGCTCGGCCGACAAACTCCCGCTGCAGCCTTTGCCCCCTTAGCCGTTTCTGCCTAAGTGCTTTAAAAACCCAGAGGCTTCATCCAAGCTCGGGTGAGACTGGAACAGAAGCTGTCAACTCCAACCACTGCAGGCTGCTTGCATCGTCACCGAACCCTTCGGTTCGGATTCACAGCCCAGAAGTCATCGCGCACGGCGCCAGCTTCTTCTGGCTGCGCTCCCACCGTGTCAGGGGCTTGCAAGTACCACCAGTGGCACATGCGAACTTCGGCAGGAACAAGCTTTACTTCATGCGGGATCGACGGGTGTGGTTCGTCGAGAATCTCACCGAACGCTTTTCCGAACCCGTGCACAAGGACGAATACTTTCCAGCAGCAGTTTTGCCTCCAGAGCTTTTCCGCGGTGAATCGAACCCATTCATCGGCGGAGCGAGCAGCCACCCCCGCTTCTTCAGGTACTCCCAAACCGGAGCCGCGACTTCCTCGTGTTCCGCGCGTGGGGTGGAGTTTGGCTTGGCGTGCCAGTTCCTGGAATTGACCGCGGCTTTGGAGCTGGCGGTGGCCCTCGGTCGGCGACTGATTTTGCCAAATGCTTTCAACTGCACCTGGTCCCCGATGTGGAAGCCTTATGGCATGGTAAAGACCTTCCATCATGAGAACGAGGACTGCACGTTCGACTTCTTCGCGGATGCAGAAGGTTTCATCAAGCGCTTCGGACATCTGCTTGTAGAAGCGAGCTTCGCGAGAACTGACAGCTACGCTCACCTCTCAAAGTCTGCGAGTCCAGTCTTGGAGCTTCTGGCGTCGGAAGACGAATCCCTTCCGCTTGCAGAGCTACGACACCGACTTGATGAAAGGGTCGGCGATGTCCTGGAAGTTACATGCGATGTCTTGGAGCTGCGAGATCGCTTCCGTGCGAACTTCGGCACATCGCTGGGCCGGGCCCTCTTCCCTTGCCAGTGGATCGAGTTTGAAGCCTGGTTCTATGCGCGTCGACCGGATCAACCAGCGGCCGTAGGTTCGAGGCACTGTGGCGTTCGAGGCTCTTCGACGTGTTCAGAAAGCTTCTGAATGAATTTCTAGTTATGACTCCTTTTTTGTGAAGGTTGGGTGTTGAGAACCAAGACCGGGGATGTGTTTGTCTGGTCTTGCGTAAGGTTTGGACTGCTGCGCCGTATATCATGGATGGGCAGAGAAGTCGGTGACTAAGTCTCCAAGTGGGGCTGATGGGTTTCAGTGCATGCAGCGAATCCAGCATGAGACTTGCCTATGTCAGGCCGTTCTTCACGTGAAGCTCTTACATAAACTGTAGCGGTAGTGTTGGGGTGGCTTTCTAGATACCTGCCGAGAACCACAGCTGCCCCGCATGGCTATCTGGCTGTCCATCGGGCTATCTGCAGTGCCTTCCGTCAATGCGCGCAGCGACAACACCGCAGTCAAGCTGCGTGTCTACCCAGCGTCCACATGGTTATCATGACTTAGTTTCAAGCAAAGTACCCGTATGACACGTGAATTTGATCTTTGCCTCTGCGCTCTCTAGTTGCCGGCTGTGCAGTGTGGCACTGCGGGCTCAGTAAGAGCGCTACACGCACTGCACGGCTTTACCTGGCTGTCGCATTGTTTACGATGCCTCAGTTTCAAGCAAAGTGTGACACACAGATTTGACCTCTGCACTCTCTAGTTACCTGCTGTGCGGTGTAGCACTGTGGGCTCAGTAAGAGTGCTACACACACACGGCACGGCTTTACCTGGCTGTCGCATCGTTCACGGTGCCTCAGTTTCAAGCAAAGTGTGACAGAAAAATTGCCCTTCGCATTTCCAAAGGGCTGCTGTGCGGTGCGGGCATTGCGGGCTCCGGGTGCGAGGTTTCCTGGAAGTCTGCAGGCACCTTGTGCAGGAGAAAGGATAATACTTCCTCTCAGTGTGTGCTCTTGTCGAGGTTGGAGTACTTCACCGGCATTGCCTGGGATTTGCCATGCGACTGTGGAGCCGAGCCCTTACTGGCTAGCTTTACTGCAGTTGGAGGTTGTGCCCGGAGCTGCTGCCCTCACTACCACGATCTTCGCGGCAAGTAGAAGAAAGCAATGTGCACGGCGATCTGCAGCTGTGATTCGCAGTCTCGCAGCTTTTTGAGCTTGAGTTGAGGTTGGTGCTGCCCTCGGCTGCTTCTCTCGCAGTGGTGGCGAGTGCGCGCGGGAGGACACGATCTAGACTTCATTCTACACACCTTGACAGGTTTTTGATCGTTTGCTGTGTCAAAGTCAGCTGTCGAGGATCAGAAGGCTGCTGCGGACATCGGCTTCGCAGAGATGCCTTGTGTCCCAATTGCCCCCTAAAGTCCTACAAGCCCTAGAACCTGCACAGAGTGGGATGGGAGCCCGCGCCCCCACTCCCTGAAGCCTCTGAGGTTTCACCGGCTGGAAGAGCTCTGAACTGGTCGTCCAATTGGGATGAAGGGCTACCGTCGCGCGTGTGCCTGGTCTGAGGGGAAAAGTGCGAATGGTTGGAACCCAACGGAACATGAGAACGTTGACTGACATCACATCACCATCACCCTCGTCCTCCTCCTCCTCCTCCTCCTGCTCACTGGTTCAGACAGCTGTCCACGCGTGAGGGCACCTGATTGAGTGAAAGTGGTGACGTCTCGAGCATTGGGATGGCAGAAGGATGGCGCTTCAAGCCACTGCTGCAGCTTGTTGCGAAGACCTTCGAATCGCACAGTTTATGTACCTGGCATAGCACCGTTTTCCCGGTGTGGGGCGAAGCTGTCGAGCACCATGTGAGCGCCGAAGGCTGTCAGGAACAGGGGCAGCAGTTGACACTTGATGCATGGTCCAGGCGCCACTGAGCGTTATTTAGGTCCCACAGATGTGGGCTCAACCGAGCGTGTTGAGTTTGGCACTGGAAAGTCAGTTGTGCCATGTGTTGCACAAATCAAGCCGGGCCGTCTTCGGAAACCGCTCAGGCATCCTGGGGCAGGACGATCGACTTGGGTCGCTATAGGGCCCCAACGAATGGAGTTTTGCGATAGCCTCAGCCGAAGGCTGGATTCCACGCAACGGAAAGGAGCTTGTTTCGATTTTTTTGGTATGTTGCGCGATTGCATGCTGAGAGCCGGACCACTATGCGATCGCACTTTCCGAGCCAAATCCATGTGCTCGTGTCTGAGCTTTTTGACACCGTCACTTACTGTAACACAAGAGGGGGTGGCCGCTCGCGGACGACCCCCTCACCCCATGGAATCCCTTCCTTCCGCGCTACGTTTTTCATTCCCGCCATTTCCCGCCCGCCATCGAGCAGCTTCGTTCCCAGCCCATCTGCGGCCCGCCGCCATCACGTCCTGTGTGGCTTGGGACTGCTTGCAGTCGCGGCCCAGCGTGCCTACACGCCGCCACACTCGAGCTGCCCCCGGCTGCCGAGTTAGGCGCAGGGCCCATGCCTGATGTGCGTGAGGTCCTCGAGTCACGCTGGGACGGAGGCAGCCTGCGGCACCGTGGCCGTCCCCGATGGACCGCGCCGACCCCTGCCGCTTAGCACCTCGGTAGCCCGACAGCGGACTCCTGAACGCAGACGTAAGAAAGGTGCGCGCAAAAACACTGTCCCTATTGCTGAGCTCATCAATCCTGGTATGCGCACGTGCAAGCCTTGCTCACTATTATGCGGACACGGATGACTCCTGCGGCCACTTTTGGCATTAGCCTGTCGTCAAGTGCCATCCTGAAGCCCTGATCAGGACGATGACGCGCACATACGCGGCGCCGGCATCCCACTAATTGAGCAAGCAACGTCGCAGCGGAACCCGCCCCAACGAGGGGCCGCCGCTGCAGATGCAGGCTTCCAACGTGGCCTGGCGTCGCTGGATGAGATCTGCCTCCACCACCCTAGGCCAACCCGGTCCAGCCTAGGTGTCCATGAGTCGCATGAGTTGGGTTTTCGCTGGCGTAGATGTTGCAAATTGGTTTCCATCAAATGGCCCAGGTAATCTTGTTCTGACTAGCTCGTCTTGTCCAAGCAACAAGCACGTGCCACCAAATTTGGGGGCATCACTTCGCAAGATTTTCTATAGCACCATCTGAGTTGCTTGACAGCGTCTTCAGGGGTCCTAGACCGGTCTTGCTGATTCAGTCGTGAGCGACTTGGTTCTGCGTCATGGGCGGCCGTGCAGTCGCCGGGACGGCATCGGCCTCCCTAGACCCCAACCAAGAACCATACCGTCAGACCCCAGACCCCCACAGGTGCTATATGGTGCTCTGTCTGTGGACTCTGCTCGCTGGCGGCACCGAGCCACCAAGCACATCAAATTTCAGCAGCGTGCGACATCGAACGATGCTTCGAGAGTGTGCCAAAAGACAGCCGCCGAATCAAGTCTCTCACGAGTTACTTTATCATCAGCGAATGCATTGGTGCACCCATTCTGTTTCCTTCGGATTTGCTTATCCCGAAGTTTGTTCTTACATGCCACTCTATCCTCCTCCTAAGACACGGCTGGGCGCGACATAGGTCGCTCACAACACAATGGCACGAAGTTTGCTGGTACTTGCTTGGCCCCTTGATCTTGAGCCAGTAAGTTACAACAACCACGTTCCAATTACAGCAGTACATACTGAACAGG